TGAATCATACAAACCTCTTCATTAATTCGTTTCCATAGAATTGCTAAAAGATAAGTAGCACAAATTGGTGGTGCTAGAAAACTTGTTACTGCTCTAAAAAGAAACAAAAAACTCAATTTTTTTTTGCTTTCTACTAAATTTCTTTTCTTACTGAATATAATCAAATAATTTACCACCTTGTGCTGCTGATATAATCGGTATCCAAACAATTGATATACCCACTAGTATTAGTGTAAAAATTCTTAGATTCAAAAAAAAAGAATTGATTTTCCGTTTGCTTTTTTTTATGTTGTAATTATTTTTACCTTCCAACGATCAGTAATTCCCATTGTGGCGCTTTTGAGCGAAAACGTTGCCAAATATCAATTGTAAATATAGTTGATGAAGAATTAAATATTGATGTTAATGATGACATTAATGCTGCAATCATACATGCAAGCATAAGACCACGTAAACCATTAGGCATTAGTTTAATTACAATTAATGGATAAGCAATATCAGTACATGACGCTCTATTGCCACAGATTTGTTCACAAGTTTCAGGAGTTGAACAACCAATTTCATCTTAGATCAACAATTATATATTTTTGTTTTGCAATAAGTGTTTATTTTACCTGGAAAAAGTATTCGTGCAACCATACCAGGAATAATCATAAGAAAAAGAGGTAAAAATTTTAAATAACTAGCAACTATACAACCGGCTCGAGCATGAGTTAAATTCTTAGCAGCAAGTACTCGTTGAACAATAACCTAAACATTATAAGTTAGTCTTATAAAAAAGTCTTCATATATACTCACTTGATCACTAAAAAAAAAGAAAAAGAAAATATTTATTAATTTATTCTTCCTGTTTTTTGTTTATTATTCTATAACTAACCTACACCAATACCAAATACTTAAAAGAGTCATACCAATAATTCCTACCCATGGTGGACCATCAGCTGAATCAAGTGGTCGAATAAGACTAAAATAATCTTGTGGTGGTATACCACAACCTGTTTCATTATATAATGTTGTATTAGAAACAGCATATGGATAAAGTTCTTTTATTAGTTGTATACCACCAACTTTAACATAACAAATAATCATAAGAATAAAAGCAGATATAATCATAATAATTGTTTGAATAAAATCTGTCCAAATAACAGCTGATAATCCTCCTGAAAAAAAAACACAAATCATATAGAAAATATTCTCTTTTGTTATATTTTATTTAACTTACCACCAATAGTAAATATAGCAGCAAGAAGAACAAGAGCTATAACTGATACATACATATTCCAACCAAGTGCTTGATTAAGAAATATAGCACCAGAATAAAGATCAACAGATATTTTTGTAAATATAGAAAGTAATAAAGCAAGAATTGTAAGATAAAAACGTATTCGATCACCACCAAATCTTTTCTTAAGAAACTCTGGCATTGTATAAACCTAATTGAAAACGTGAATAGACAAATCAGTAATGCTATCTGGTCTATGAAAATTCAATCTATTCAAGATTGAGTTTTTGTTTTTCAGCTTACATCAGCTTTGATATAAACAGGTAAAAATACCCAACCGAGAATCATTAATACATAACCAGCCTAAATTTAAGATGAGTTCTATTATATGTATCAAACGTTTGTGTTGTAACATACGTTTAACTCGAAACCACCTACACCAATTCCATTGCTTGCACCACTACCTATTTAGCATTAAAAAACAATATTATATTATTCATCTTTTATTTATTATATTAAATATAAATGAAATCATCAAACTTTATAAATTATCATGGTTCTAATAATAATTGCTTCAATTTGAATATGTTTTTTATTCGAACATATTATAAGGAGAAACTTTTAAAACAATGGTAAACAAAACACATACTATCATTACGAAATATTCAATAAATTCTGATTAGAAAATACCTGCAAGACCAATAAAATGTCCACTTCCAATGTTGCTAGCAAATAATGATGCCCCAACCTCAAAGATAGATAATTTAATATTTATTTTCAAAACGAAATAAGTCATTTCTTACTGGTAAAAATGTCATAGATCGACCTGCCAGAAAATATCCTCCTGAAAGAACAATGAGTCATCAATTAGCACAAAATATAACAATGTTCAATGTGCATACCAACACTGCCACGATTTTTGCATGATGACTAAAATAGTTTTGATCAATTCAATACATTTTTCATTTTCAATATTGATGCATAAAATCAACGACATTATTTGTTTTACTTTGATTTTATTTTCAAGTTTATGATGGTAATTTATAATATATAAAAATAGTTCTTAACATCATAAACTACTTAGTTTATCTCGAGAATAAAAATTTATCAATTTCTTCGTTTTTCTTTTTAATTTTTTTGTTAGAATCAAATCTGAAAATGAGCACTAATAATGAAATGTCGGTGACCATTTCTTTATCGATTTGTTTTTCGAGTGATATCTTGATCTATTGAGGAAAGATACACATAAATTGGTGAATTAAAAGTAAGATATTTGATAATGGACACCATAGAGTCTTATCTACTGTCTCACTGTAGAATTCGATAGAAATTTTTCATTTATCGTTATCCTACAGTGAATATTTATACGAGTGTTTTGCAGCTTCTGTGATACACTTGTTGCTTTGAAGTATCTGCACTATAAACTTTGTTTCTAAGACATGATTTTAACATGTTTCTTTCAAACTTTAGAAATATATAGGGATTACCTACTCTGCTCTGTAGGTAGAGTAAAAGTTAAAGTAAAGTGAAGATAACATAATCAAATCAGAACGGATCGAAAAAAAAACAGATCATTACCAACAAATATATCAAGACAAAGTTTATATGAAATATAGTTGGTCATCGTTTAGCGTATCAGCTAGTTCACATAAGATGGAAAGAATTTGTGACAAAAAAAAATTCTTTAACACTTTCCAGAGTCGTCTAGCTAAAGGTAACAAAAGCTTTTTCAATAAGTCAAGCCAAGTCTTTTTTACTGAATTAAACATAATTGAACTATACCCTATACATTTCGCTTCATATTTCAGAAAATCTTAGGGGAAACTTTCGCTGTGTATTCTAGGTATAGAGTACTATAAAATGTACTAGTTATAAATCGTTTAGGTTAATTTTCATTTGCTTGTACAAGTTCTACGAAAAACTTGCAATTCATTCATATTTAGTATTTATGTTGAGAACATAAATGTATGAACTTACCCAGAGACCAAATCCAATAACTATTGCAAAATACGCAATCAAGACTAATATATCCGCCCAATGCAAAGTGACACTAGTGATTGCAGTCACCATTTTGATTCGTAATGATTTAATAGCTGATGTGTATATCACAGTTTTTGTGTTTTATCTACCTTTTATTTTGTCAAGGTTTATATCAATATAAATTGTTGACAATTACTAGATGATAAGGATTATAGTCCATTGAAAAGTATTTTAATAGATACATTACATATTTTACTTGTTGTTAATCTATTTTCGAAGTCATGTTCTTGTTTGAAAACTTTTATTTTTATTAATAAATAAAGATTAATATCTTTACATTATTTACAAAGAAAAACAACAAAAACATGTCTAGACATATCCGAAAAACTCAAAACTTACAGTTTCAAAGTGACATTTTATCTATAGGTAGATTTAATAGTCATACACGTTTTAACAATAACAAACATGTCTTTTTTCGAGATGTTCAATCTTCAAATAGACTGTATTATTATGTTCTTCTATGGTAAACAGCTGTTTTTTTTCGAAATTGAACATTTCGACAGAGATATGTTCATTTTTCTTCAAATTTTCACAACTGTCTAATGACTATTAAATCTATCTACAGTATGAAGACTAACAGTTGTTATAACAAAACAAGATAATGCAAAAAGTAACATTCCAAAAAAATAGAAAATGAAATTTGACTGCTTCTAGATGTGGAAAAAAAACATTCTTAATATATTTCTTATTATAATCATGCAAGATTCTTCATTAATTCTTTTGCATGGAATAACTAAAAGATAAATAGCACGTATTGGTGGTGCGAGCAAACTTATTACTGCTGTAAAACAAGAAAAAATCCGATCTATTTCTTCTTCTAATGATTTTATTGTCTTACTGTATATAATCAAATAACATTCTAGTTTGTGCAGCTGTTAATGGATGGCGCATAAAGAATTGGACTCTTAGTATATTTGAAATTTTCCTATATTATCCTGGTGACTAAAACACATTTTGCTATCAAAAGATAGCGCTTGAAGTCCTCGACAAGATGGTATTTAAGACAAATGAAGTAAAAAAATAAATTATTTTCATTTATACTTTTTTCTGACGGACCGTTTTCATCTGTTGATGTTATCTTTGTTTTAACATGGCTCCAATTCATAGCTTCAGCCAGTTAAACCCATCGACCATTGCTAGTGCTCAAGTCAACTTGGTGTGAGTTGTGTTCAGGAAGAAGACCAACAAGAAAGTGACTATGCATTAAAATATATAAAATTCCACATAGAGGTACTAACGTAGTTAGGTATATGTGGGCAAGGGCTGACGTTGTCGATGATTTGGAACCTTAAAACCAAGAACGTAGAAAGATACATCAATGGCACCCTTCCAATAGCTCTAAAATCCAGCAGGAAAATATTAGAAAAAAACTGAACATACCTACCGATACTGCTACACCTTACATATATCACGTGAGTTGACAACGTTCTGTTAAAAGCTACATTTATTAAATAAAATGTAATTTCAAGCGGTATCTTTTGATTTAAAAACAAAGTGTTTTAATCAATATGAATAATAAAGGAAAATTTTTCAAAAATACTAAAAGTGCAATTCTTTATACATCAGCTGTTATATTGTAAGATATGCTTTATATTTTTTGCGTATTTTTATTCTACTTTGGAATTTCTGCTCTTATTCTAAACCTTTTGTTTTTTTATTAATGAGTAAAGTTTAATATCTTTACATTATTTACAATGATAGACAACAAAATAAAGTCCATACAAATTCTCTTTCAATTTTAATCGACTATTTCACGTTTAATATTATCATGTGTTGATATATTAAATGTACCCATAGAAGAATTATTATCTATTGATTTTTGTCGAACACGTTTTATATTTTCTTGAGTAATACGAAGACGTTCAGTTAGATCTTGTATTTCATTTCGTACTCGTTGTCGAGCATTTTTTATACGTGTTATTGTATCAAATTTTTTTGCAGCATCTAAAATAATTTAACATTTTTTTTTCATATTATTAATATAGTTTTATTACATACATTCTTTTTCTGTTGCTAAATTTTCATCTGTTGGTGGTGCAAGTGATTTAGCACAATTGAGCAAACGAGCTAATAAATCAGATGGTTCTTGAAAAATCTATAAAGAAACAAAGAAAAGATTTATGAGTATTGACTGAAATTACTATGAAATTCAATCGTGCACTGCTGTTAACAATACAATCCCGATCTGTAAGATGGTGTGGGTGTAGTCTCTTCTCATACACCCACACCCTATGATGACGACACCTTTAAAATTTCTAATCTTTGACAAGAGTATATGTACAACTGTTGAAGTCTATACTATGTCTGCGAGTATTTCCGAAACAAACAATATCGAGATGAAATATTGTCTATAAGTAGATTTAATAGTCATTTGATAGTTATGAAAGTTTCAACGAGAATAAACATGTCTTTGTTTTTCCAGATATTGAATTTAAAAATTTACCAATTCATCATAATGTTCATTAACTAATGCTTTTGTACCAGCAACAACATCTGGATCTGTTGAAAATAATTTTAAATGATGATAAAATACTACCTAGAACATGTAAATTCGATACAAAAAATTTTATTTTAATAACAAACTCATACTGGTTTTTCATTAGGATCAGCAAAAAAAATTGTTATCTGTGTTTCAAATTCACCCCAACCACTTTCTTCTACTTCAAATGGTGCTTGTGTAATCACTAAGAAAAAAAAACGTAAATATTCAAAAATATCTCTTTCTTCTTTATATTTATAATTTACTTCTTGTATGATTTGGATATGTTTCATGTAAACGAAATTGTACTTTACTTACATATGTTGATAAATCATCATTATTAAATGATCGAACATACAATGTCCATTTATGTGTATGTCCATCAGAATCTCGTTTTGAACCAAAATGTTTCGCTGTATTACCATAAAGAATAGGCTTGATGATTACAATTGGTGTTCGCTAAATCAAAAAAGTCTCTTTTTTTTCTTCGAAATCTTTCTTTTTTTGTATTTGATATTACTGTTGATGTTGTTATCGATTCGGAATTTACTATTGACATCTACAAGGGAAAACGTCATATGTTTTTTTTTCTCTCTTTTTTTTCTTTTTGTAAATCAAATACGGATTATGTAATAACTTGATCAAATAATGAAGCGAATATTATCAATGACATATAAAAATAAAGACAAAATTAATCTGTATAGAAATGAAATTTCAAGAAAAAAAAAGAAAACAAAAACCCAGTTCATTTAAGTGAACAAGAAGAAAAAAAACAAGTTTAGATAATAAAGTGCATAAAATGAGAAACAAGAAAACAATACATAAAAAAAAAACTGAATACAGATTTAATGAAAAAACAAAAGCAATTAACAGTCACTGTGAGTAAATCTTTCAATTGCAACAATAAAATCAGACAATCAGTTCAACATAATTTGACGGTACAACTCCTAAAAATAAATAAAGAAATTAATTTTAAATTCCAAAACAAAAAATGAAATCATTACTTACCAATTTTTCCATCGAGTTCTGCTTTCCACCAAGTTTCATCTAAAGAAATATAAACATGAGAATATTAATATATTGAAATAATAGAATCAAATTTCTTACCACTATTTTCAATAAGTATGAGTTCATTATCAGCAAAAAATGAAAGTTCATCTGCTGATCGTGCTTGAAAATCATATAATGCTCGAAGTTTCTTTTGTTTCATTGGTTTTGCAGCTGCCGGTCGTGGAGGTTTAACTGGAGGTTTTCGAGAAGTATTACTAAATCAATTAGATGTATATTAATATAAATCAAACTAGAAGAATACACCATCTTTCGGTGTAGGATGCTGTCCGAGAACAATTTCGAAAGTCCGATATTTTTCCTATATCTATTAGTAAATGTAGCTCTTGACAGAAGGCCGACCTAACTCGAAGTTCTTCTGCTTAATCTTCTCATAAATACTGAATAACAACATACTAGCCACAAGAGCTTTTAGTGTATCTCATCCACGTAGGTAGTTTGTTATCGGACAAAGCAGTTGTTCAAGGTCATTGTATGACTGATGGAGTCAAAGTTCGAACTCAGTACCTTGTGAGTATGTGTTGAGTGTCTTAAACATTGCCTAAAGATGATGCAATATCTTTTCTAGACATCTTATCGCTCAACTAGAAGCAAACTGTCTTCGAGAGAAATATGATTATCAGTCCACTTGTAAGTCAAAAACTCCTCTCTATCACGAATTGATCAGTATGAAGGGTAGTTTTTCTTTTTTTTTGAATCATAACTAATCGAAAATGTATGTGGACTTCAAATACAACCAAATGTTGATTAACATAATTAAAGCTGTTCATAACAATTTTATTGTAGTTCAGCAATAAAAAATCCGTTACATCTATTCTATACTAACCTAGTCGTTGATTTAAATTGTAATCCACGTGGTTTTTCAGCATTTGTTTGATTAGGTCCTAGAGAATAAAATCTTTAAAAAAAAAGAAGAAATTTAACGTACAAAATCGATTTTACTCGATTGTTTTGATAAACCACTTGAAATCATCACAGTCATTGTATTACGATTAATTTTTACATCATAATCACGTGGCATATCAACACCTTTACGTAATTTATTTGGATCGATTTGATTCTAAATTAAATTATATTATTAATAATATAATAATCTTATTATAAATATTACCATTAATGCAGCTGTAGCTGCATGAGCAAATTTAACACTACGTGTACCACCACCTATCCAACTTTGTTTTTTAACTGCATAATCAAATCTAAACGGAAAAAAAACAATTTCTATTTGAATTTTTTTTTTTACAAGAAAATTATTTAACCCTTGTCCAAATGTAATTGGTAATACTCGATTAGTTTTCTTTAAATAATTTTTTAAAATAATTGAAATAGCTTCAGTTTTACTTGATAATTCTAATAATGTTGAATAATCATTATTGACACAAATTAAAAAATAATTATCACGATATTCACTTAATAAACAAAAAAAAAATTTTCTTTTTTTTATTAAAGATTTTTTTTTTGTCATATTTATTTACCTCAATTTAATTTCAGTAATATTTTCTAATGATATACGTCGTTTTATTTTATATTCTATTGTATAACCTTCTTGTTGTTTATTTTTTTGAACAGTAGAATTATTCGATTTTCCACTACTACCAATTTTAACCTATATATATGTATATATATATTATTTTTATAAATTAAATACAATCCTTTTACATACACATTCTTCATCAATAATATACAATGCATGATTTGTACTAATAAAATATCGTCCTTGTCGACGAAAACGTCGATCATATTTATATAAATATGAACTAAAATCTGTTTTTTCACTACGTGGTATTAATCGTTGTAAATCAGGTCGTTGATGAAGATTACAATAATCTCCAACATAATCACGATCAAGTGAACGTGCATTACGTTCTTTATGTCCATATAAAATGTCAGTAGCTATATAAACAAAAGTAATAATCTCCTCCAAAAACAACAACAACAACAACTTTAAGATTATTACCTTGTTCACGTTGTTTTTGATAGACACGTACAGCACAAAAACGTTTCATTGCTCTTTGTATGATACGTGCATAATTATCAAATTTTCGTAGACGCATATCTTCAAGTATATGTAACTAAAACATATAAAATAATTCATTTTAAGACATGTCGAATTTTATATGCATCATTTTTTTTTAAAAAATGTTTATCATATTGTATATAAAATCTATTTATTACTTACACTTTCTGGTGATTTAATAAATACTTTTGTATTGCCTAATTGTACTTCACGTCGATCAAGATGCATTGTATCAACAATATGCATAACACCATCTGTTACTTTTCCATTCCATTTCGGCCATGTTTGTTTTGTTAATATAGCATATCTAAATAGAAAATTGAAATTTTTAAATAGAATAAAAAAATAAAATAAGAACATTGTATATTATACCGGCTTAAAAATTTTGCAAATTCACGTCGATAAACAAAACCAGCTTTTCGAACTTCAATATTAGCTACAAGTCCTAAATATTTAACTTGTTCAATAACACTAAAAATTTTAAAATTTATAAATATTTTTTAATTTTTGAAATAAATATTTTTTTTTGTTACCTTGATGAATTCCATTCACTAGGTGCTTGATTCTCATTTGGTTTTATACATCGAACATCTAAAAAACAAAAAAAAGATAGTCTATAGTATTTAATATAAAACATGATGAGATTGAAATGCATCAACAAACATATAGTTACAGACAATGAAATAAGTGTCGCATCTAAGTATCCAATTATTACTAGAAGATGTAATGATGCTCATACATAATTGAAATTAGACTGAAAATTAAAATGACTTCGCGACAAATGAGAATCATCGTAATTTGAATTTGTATTAAAACTTGACTAAATATTCTCGGAGTACAACGGAGATACGACATTGTTAAAATATCTTTGTATCCGAATGCGGTAGTCTCCTTTAACAACACAAATGAAAACAATTGTCTCATTTCTGATCGTACATATGAACGATGTAAAAGATACACTTTTACAATAAATTGTTCTCATCAAGACCTGTCTCTGTACGAAGTTTTCATTAGAAATGCGAACATATCATAATAATACAATACATTCTTAGCAATAATTTAAAAGATTCGAGCCCTTTTCGGAGTATTCCTAGCTGATGAGGATCTTTATAATATATGTAGCCTTGTCTCAAAAGCGATTTATCAGTTAAATAATTTCTCATGTAAGCCTCAAAACATAATCTATGACTTGATCTTTTCTTCTAATTAATCTATAGAATAATTTTACGTACAATGTGGTTGACAACCCATTAATTTTTCTACAAGTAAATTTGCTTGTGTACGAATTTTAGTACCAGCTGTTGTAGGTCGAGATTTAATGTTTGCTGTTTGTTCAGGAAAAAGTCGTACAACAAATGGTCTATTCAAATGAAATAACAACAAAAAAAAAGAACTTTCTTTCTTCAAAAATTATTATTTCTTACATGGTACTTGATTGCATCATTTCAATTAAATCAATATTTAAAATATCTCTATTTTTTTCACAAAATTGATCTGAATGATAAATAACAGCACCAGCATAATGTCTAACAGTAAATGTTGGTGGTGAAACAATTAAATATTGATTTGATAAACTACTTAATTTCTTAAAAACATAAATAAATTTACAAAAAAACAAAAAAAAAATTGAAAAAATTCACATTATCTTACATGTAAATAACTTTTATCAACTTTTTCTGTTGTTGCATGTGAACTAAGACATATATCATCAAGTAATAAAAACATTCCTGGTGGTTGTTTAGCTTCAAATAGATCACAAACAACAATATTATTAAAAAATGATATTGGTGTCCATTGAATATTTTCACGTTTATATTCTTCCTAAATATAATAAATAAAAATAAGAATTTCAAAAATAAAAACAAACGAACTTGTTCTTTTTTTAATGTTAATTCAATAAATATTTGTTGAAGTTTTTCATTAACATAATTTATACAAAATTGTTCAAAACTATTTCGTTCAAATATTTCAAACCCATATATATCAAGAATACCCATAGATAAATCGGATTTAGCTGTTGTTTGAAATGCTGAATTAACTGCCTATTAGAAAAGAAGAAAAAAAAAAAAAAAGAATAATTTTTTTTATAAAATAAATAATAAAATTAATTTTACTTGAATAAGATAATCAAAAATACGAGAATAAATTGATTTAGCTAATGCATCACGTGTAAATATAGCTTTATCAACAGTAAATGTTTGATCGATTAGTTCATTTTTTTGATGTTCTTTAAATTCGAGTCGTTTCGAAATTAATTTCGTTTTTAAATAATCTATTTGAATACCAAAATAAGCACAAGGAGCTTGTAGATCTGAAAAAAAATCAGAACATTGTTAAATACGAGAAATAAAAAAAAAATAGTACATGCCTCGTTCTGATAGAACCGTAGCATAATTATTCTTATCACCAAATTGAACATTGCCTAGATGTAATATACCAGCGAGTAAACTAAATATACTTTGTTTTGATTCTGATGAAAAACCCATAACATCCATTGCATGCTAATAAAAAAAGACAATATATTTCTAATATAGAAGAAAAAAAAACAATTTAATCACGTATAAAACATACGAGTGTATGTTGCATTTCTTTTGTATCATCAATTTTGGCAACTCTACTCGATTCAGCATGATTAATATATTGAAAACGAAGTTCATGTGATAATGAATATTGTTCTATGATATACAAAAACTAAATAAAATTAACACGAAACAACAATAACAACACATACGACAAAATTCTCTGCTTGATAATAATTGATAAAAAATATGAAAATTACGTTCATTCTCAGCTTGACTAACTACACGTGACTAGAACAAAAAAAAAAGACATGCTTAAATATTAAAAATTTTAAATTGTCAAAAATAAAAATTCGAAGACAACAGTCGTGCATGATATGCATATGAAAAAAAAATAATTTCAATTCAAACCTTCTATGTTTCTTTCTTTTTTTTTATTTCTTCTGCAAAAAAAAAAGATTAGTGCAAAAAAAAAAGTAGTGTTTAAATTGAATTTTTTTTTCAAAAAGATTTTCATTTTTGTTTTACTTACTTTTTCGAGAAGAAAATTTGAAATTGCACCACCTATCGGTTCTCCACCACGTGAAAATATTATTTCAACATATTTACCCTAAAATAATTCAAATAATTTTTTTTGTTTTTTTTTGAAAATAATTTTTCGTATTTACAAATCGACTTGAATTATCATTACGAATTGTTTTTGCATTACCAAAAGCCTTTTAACAAAACAAAATCAAATATTTCTATGTTATCATAAATAGTGGCACTATTCATTTTGATCATGTTTGTAGATTAAAAAAAAAAGTGCGCTTAGCTTCAAAAGATTCGATATAAAATTTGCACAAGATGATTTTGTTTATCCCGGAGGATATTTACCTGTTGTCTGATAGTTGTGCCTAGATGTATTCAAGGACTAATAATCTCATTATGTACTGAGTTTGAGAGCAATTGGTCATTTTTATCAAAGTTTGTGATAACCATCACAATGAACCGATGCTCTTAAGAATTGAAGGAATGTAAGGAAAAACAATGAGAGTGAAATATTCCCACGTAAGATCTCGATCAGTTTGTAAGGATGTCAATGAAAAGTTCATGATAAATGTTATAGTCTGTATTCAATAAAAATGAATATTTTCATGAAATACAAGGTATGTCAAGTAGCTTGTTTGTATGTCTTAATGTTCTTCGAAAATATCGGTACTGTTTTGTTCAACTGAAAGGTGGCGCCTCTTCCAAGGTCAAATTAGTCATCCTGAAGTTTGTGGTTATTATTAGGGACTTGTAAAACCACTGCTTTTTTCGGTCCCGGTTTTAGATAAAAGCTGTGTAACGACTGTATATTATAAGTCACTTAGTCAAAAAAAACACCAAACAACTTATTGCAAAATTCCGATTTTCGAAGCCAAAAGTCTCTAGTTTATTATACTATGTATGATCAGTCTGTACTCTACCAAATAGATATTGACTTTTCTGAAAGAGAAAACCCGGATAAACCATTGAATATTTCATCATTTTGCATCATGATAAAGAGCACTACCTCTTTTGACAATACCATATCTCATTCGCTTAAAAACATAATATTGAAAATTAAATATTCTCTAAAAATAGGCACATATCGAAAATAAGTTCTATGTTTTTTTCAATTCTCTCGTACAAAATAAAAAATACAAATAATGCCACTATATATGCTGTATCTGTTAAATATATGTAGAAGTTTTTACTTCTAATAATGGATTGGACTGTAAAATAACACTCTTAATACGTTGTACATTTGGACCACCACCCGATACCTTTTTCAATAGATGAAAGACAAACAAATAATATATATATATATACATTTACTTTTTTTTTCTACTAAACCTTACCTCAGCAATATAAGACATAATAAATTTTGCACTAACTGTTTTACCAGCACCTGATTCACCACTTATAATAACACATTGTTTTTCAGAATCAATTAACATATTACTAAACATATCTTCAGCTATAGCAAATATATGTGGAGCATTGTCCATTTGAGTCTAATGACATATATATATATATTCCATATAGATAATATATAAACTTACAGCTCCTCGATATTTTTCCATATGATTATCACGACAATATTCAACATCTTTATATGGATTTACAGCAATTAGAACAGAACCAATATATGTCTATTTAAAATATGTAAAAAAAAAGAAAGATTAAATATAAAAATAATAATAAATTATTTACATAAATATAATTAACATCAAAACGAATTTTGAGATTATGGCTTATATCAGAGTCGGTATTTTTTGACATGAAAACCTAAATTAAAATGATCAAAAAAAAAAATACCTTAACTTTTTGTGTGTTTCTTTAATATATACATACCATATCATCAACACCAGCTCGTCGTTCACGATCTCGACTAAAATCATATTTAGCTCCGAGCATAATTGATTTTTAATTTGTCTTCAAATGTTTAATATAAAAGAAATGAGATATAAGAATCAATTTTAAAGAGAGAAAATAGTTAACAAATAGAAATAGAATGAATCATAGTTTGTCAAGATTAAAATTGATAATTATTCGTTGATGATTTGTCTCGTCAACTTAGTAAATAGAACCTGACAATTCGTTTACCCTCTTCTCTTCTTCGATTAACCTATGTGTAATCATATGAATCACACATTATTGAGTGAATTATAAAAAAAAGAAAAGAAATATTGGACTAAAAATTATATCTAATAGAATAATATATCAATAGATGACAGAAGTTGATAGAAAATATTCAAAATTGTATGTATTCAAAACATATGAGTTTATCATAGATAATGTTTTATCAATATTTTTATACATTTTCACATTAAAAAACAATGTACAATATAAAAACTAAACAAGAAATTAAAACAATAGACCTAAAAACCTACTAGTAACATGTACCATAAAACTAAACGAAAGGTGTCATTTTTTTTCATTTGTCACGATAAGTCTACAGGACAAACATTATGACAGTCATAAACAATAATGTAGGAACCTGTACAGTATAAATTGCGATCATATATGGGCGTATCTTGTCGTGTAGTACATGACGTGTATAAGAGGCAAAGTGACCGACAGTACATGCTTGTATATAAACTTTGTCTGCTATTGTATTCATATATTGTTCTCATTTAAGAAGAAGAGATTTTTTTTTTGTCTTGTCTCCTCCTGTTGTAAATATGAAATTTTATTTTTTATTGTTGTTCGAATCTATCTGATTAAATGAAATAAAATCATCTTTATTTTAAAAGAAAAAGATACTTATAATCTATCTTTTATTCATTTCTATATTTCGAATAAAAAATTCTGATTATTTATTTTATCTTGTTGCTTGACATTTTCATATTCTGTTTAACATAAATCAATTTTATTAGGATCTTAATCATTCATTTGACTGTCAAATAAATTTTGTTGTACATATCTATTAATATGTATAACAAGTCTCAACATACTATAGTCTATCGTGATAAGCTCAACAATACTAATATTGAAATATTCGCGAAAAGGTATAACTTGATCGATTACGTTTTTTTTTCTTTTATGTCGATTATATAATGAATGAGACAAATTAATGCATTAATACTAATTATCCTTGACATCTTGAATATAAACTTTTATCTAAGAAAAAAAATCAAAGTCTACATTATTTAGAACAGTTAAAAACGTAATTCAATCAATTAAGTTTCAACAAAATTGTTTAGTGCTTTTTTTTCTATTACTCAGAAACTTTGAGAAAACAGACAAAGATACGTGAATTCTACGAAATCTATATGTCCAATAAGTACAACTTCATTCACAAAGGCAATCAAATAAGAATGTGCGTTTTTCGACCTGAGTCATACAAATTATCTAAAAAATAAACCATTTGATCAGAATACTCTTAAAATATGCCAACATTTTAGGCAAGATCATATTATACGATAGTCTACTCGTCTATTCTACAGTTAGAATAAAGAACGAAAGACACAATATCGATGATAACTTTTGTACTGAGACAAAAAAAAAAAACATGATCTTTACCAAAATATCAACTCATTTAATCGCAGAATCTGATTAACCTACTGAATTATTGATCAACTGTCATGGTTTACCAACAGTATTAATAAAACAAGTATATTCTAAAAAGTGGCAACATGAAAATAATTACAGAATTTTCATCGTAGAATAGTTCATTTTTTGAAAATATTGATATCGTTAAGAAACCTGGACGTTTTCTTTCTAAAAATTTGTTTTTCATAAAAATTCTATTACTATACTATCGTATAAAAGTACAAATTGATTCATCAAAATAAGAAAATTTACTTTTCCAAACTGCTCGTTTTTTTTTCAGACTAAATTAAAAGTTCTCTGTCTATTTTTCAAATTCCTTACTTTCATTTTCACTCGTTAGAAACCTATGTATGTAAATAATCACCCATTGTATTTTATTTCTCACACATAAAAAAAGAAATAAAGTGCTCGATCAAAAGGAAAAAAAGAAGTACATCCGCGCGCTACACGAAAAAAAGAAAACCGTTGGCCATTTGAATTGTCGTTTATATTTAGCGAATACAAAGTGATATTAATGTTATTAAAAATAGGACTATTTGAAGGTATTATTGATGATGATGATGGCTTCAATGGAATAATTTGTTTCATATTTTTTACGGATACATTGTGTTTCTTTGAATCGGCACTTGTATGAAAAACTTTTTTTTGTTTTTTCATTAAATAAAAAATAGTTGTGTAGGTGTGTGATAAAAAGTTAAGAAAAATCGTGGTGTTTCAAAAGAAAAGAAAAACTTATACGAAAGACAAAATAAGGCCCAATGGAGTTTGATTAAATAAATATAATCAAAAAAATAAACGATAAATAACAGCGACGATAAATCGACGACTCGGAATTAACATATAAATATATAAGTAGAGTATTGTTTATAATGATCGTCGTAACTTATGAAAACTGGCAAAGCATAAAGCAGCCAATAAGATGACTGTATTAATGGCAAGGCCAGGTGCATCATTACCAGCATCTTTCAATGCTCTATATACTTTTCCTAAAGAAAAAAAAACAATTGAAAAAATAAAAATTATGAGAATTTTTATTTCAATATATAATATATTCAAAATCATACCGAGATATGCGGTCACTGCAATAAATATTGCAAAAAGACCAAGTAAACCCAACGTTGCTAAACATAGTAAACATAAGAGTAGACCAGCTATGCCTCCGAGTATACCGAGAAGATTCCCTGGACGAGGTGGGGGAGGTCTAAATATAAATAAATAATTGTATATAGAATAATTTATTCGATCGAATCTTACCGAAGTGGATATCGTATACCGGGCCGTTGAATATAAACACTTCCTGAACGACGAATCGGCACTCGAATACGAGGCATTCTAGGATTTTACTAAGATAAGACAAAGACAATACTATGATAATGATCTTTGTCAGAAAATATCAAAAAAAAACCGTATTCTCAAGGTCATCCTTCATCTGTCTCTGTGTATGTCTACATTGAACAAAATATTTTGATCGTTATCTATCTTTTCAACTAAAACTTCTCTAACTAATGTCTAAAACTTGTACAACAGAAAGAAAAAGAAAAACACAAGAAATAGATCAATTGGCAGAAACATTTCTGGACAATACAAACATCCATACATGATGATGATCATAATAACAGAAGCAACAGAGAGAGAGAGAGAGATAAGAGAAAGAAAAACGAATGGTTCTGGACCAATAAAGAAAACTTAGTCGGCGAACCAATATAAAAAAAAATGACAACGTTCTCTATGTATTCACAAAAAAGGATGAGGTTTGCCACCTGAAGGTTGTACATAGAGAGAGTATGCATGATGTATCGTTTATCATTACAATTTGTGAAAAAAAAGAAGAATCCCGCCAATGTTTGTTATACGTGTCCATGTATAGATATTATGTTAAAAGAAAAAAAAATCAAGAGAAAGGAAGATGTGCAATCAAATAAAAAAAGACGGCACATGATTAATCAAGCGAAACACCCCTGACTGACTACACACACGTACGCTAATAGTTTTTTTTTGATTGTACATTGATGCTTTTACAACTGATGAGACGAAAATATGTTGTCGATAGTTCAATATATTGTTATTCATCTTTTCGTTTTCTTAAATGCTTGTTACTACAGAAGACATTCGCTTATATTGAATATATTTCTTTTTCAGTTTATCGAATGAATGAAACCTTTAAAAAAAGTAGAAAACAATGGATTTTCTCTCTTTTATTACTGATGACGTATACATTATATCAAACGATATGTATAGTTCAGAAGAAAATCATCAATGATACCCGTGAAGTCATGCATAGCACAAGCAGTCGGGAAGAGAAAAGTAATGAAAGAATGCAATATACGTTTTGTTGAAAAAAATAGGAAAGATAGTTTGATCATGCCGTCAATGGAGATCGTACATGTCAAAAAAAAAGAAGCATGCTTGTTTATAATAATTTTTGTTTCGCCACTTTTTTTTGTTTTTTTTTTAGAAACGTAATCAAGAAGTAATAGAACAATACGAGGACATGATTAATCAGAAAATGTAATGATGATGTGAAAGAAAACAAAAAAACAAGTAGCCTGTTGTCTTTTGGTATTACAATTTAGTACGCTACAAACAAATTGTCATTATTGCTGCTGACAGAAGTTTACCGCACAGGTGATTGAAGAGAAAACAAGAGGAAAAAAAAGAAAGAGAGAGAGAGAAAAAAATAGAAGATGGCGAATAAAGAAAAATTTATTAATAAACACGTGTGGACAGTTCTTAGTAATATAATATGAAGAAAGAAAAGACTCATCACTTATCCTTGTTAATATTGTTTGGTTATTATCAAACCTTCATAGATTTATATGTCATACGCTCGTCGAAGATTTCTTCCTTCTCGACCATTTCGAGTTCGGTAAATAACTACAAGTAAATAAGTATTGGCAACAAGTATTTTCTTTTCGAAAAACTATAGAATTATTTTACCTCCACGTCCTTACTATGGAGGAAGGAGGGTATTTAGACCTGCTAGTATTCTAGGTGGTGCCCTTGGAGTACTTGGTGGTACTCTCGGTTGTCTACTTTGTTTATCAGCTATTGCTGCTTTAGGTTTATTTTCGTGTATAGTTGCTATAACGGCTTATGCCAGTATGTATACAAAATTTTTACATTTATAAATAAATTGAATATCATTTTTCTAGAAAAATTTCTCGATGCATACAAAATAGTAGAAAATATTAGTAGTGATGTCGAACAACTACATATCGGTATGGTTATTTTATTGGTTTCATTGTTTTATATCATTATCTGTCATATGCAATGAAACTAGCGTAACAATATATGATATTTTTCTTATACTTAATATATACCGTTATCCTTGAATAATAAACATCAAGAACGAAGCCTTCCGTTTTTCTTTTTTAACCTACACAATGAACCTGTTCAAGAGAACGAAAACATTGTTTTTTGCATGATATGATGACAACAATAAAAGTTACTATCATCTTTTACAACATTACTATACACTTATTCTTTTTTTGGAAATATTCATTTTTCTTTTTTTGATCATGCGCATATTAATGTTTGTTGTTTATTTGAATAAAGTCATTTTCTCTCTTTTTTTTTTTAATTGTTGCTTTTTATTATTCATTCATTTTGTCATAGTCAATGTCATAGTACATTATGTATATTTAAAAGCGTGAGAAGGAAAACGATACTATTTCATCATTATGATGACAGAGATAAAAAAATGCAAAAAGCATTCAAGTATGACTGACTTGTGGTAATGAGCAAGTTTGGTAGATATTGATGAAGGTTATTTTTATCTTGACACATTGTTGTTTATGAGGTTTATCGAAGAAGTTCATCATAGGTTTATTCAAGAATGCATAAAAGAAAACAAGAAAGAGAAAAGAAAAAAAAACGTCAAATACAATATGTAATATAATCTCTGAAATCACACAAAGAAAGAAAATTGTTCTTTTCTTTTTTTTTTTAATCAAATATCTCGAATAAAAGATAATTATTAAGTAAAAGTACAGAAGAAGAAAAAAAAAAAAACAAAAATGCTAAATATATATAGTCATATTAATATATTATAAACGACTAACATCTATCTAAAACAAAATGAAAAAATTTCATATTAATAGAAAATATATTTTAAATTTAATTTACTCAAAATAGAATTTTCACATGTTATTGGAAGTAAACTATTATGTGTTACTTGATCAACTGAAGTAAAAACAACTTTAACACCACCTTTACTTGTTGCCATAACATCACCCTAAAAAAACAAAACCATATTTTCAAATACAAAATAAATACTTTTTTTTTTTTTTATTTACTTGAAATAATTGAACACCATCTTCAGCTCGATGTTCAATAGCATATTTAGTTGCACTTAATAATTTTGACATAGCATTAAAATGATTTGTAACAAGTTGTAATGGATTTGGTAATGATGCACGTAATTTAATTGCTAAGAAATTCAAAAAAAAAAAAAAAATGGATGAAAAATTTTTTGTTGAGAACTATTAAAAAAAACAAAAATCAAACAAACCATTATTAATTGTTAATGGATCGGTAATATGATGTAACCAACGTTCACGTCCAATACGATCAACTGATGATGAACGTTTAAGTAAATTTTCTTCTTTTAAAGTAACATGTTTTGTAGTTGATGCTATTGTTGGTATAATACGTGAACTAAGTACAGATGAAGCTCGTTGTTGTACATCAATAATTGAATTTGTTCTTGAATATTTTCGAGATAAACGTTTTTTATTTGTTTCTGTATTATAAATCGGTGGTGGTGGTGGTGGTGGTCGTCGATTTTGAATATTTGAATTTAATTTTGTTTCTGTTAATAGAGTAGGTACTTCTTGTTCGATAGATGATAATGGTTTTATTGATCGTTGAATTCTTGGTGGAATACGAGGTGGTACTTTTTCATTTAAATGAGATATACCTGTACTAGGTGTTAATGCATAAGTGACACACGAAGGAGTTTCTTCTATAATAAGTCGAGAAGATGATGATGGTGGTCGTGGTGGAGGTATTGATTGAGATGTATCTATTAAATCAATATGATTAAAAAATATAATAATGAATGATGTAAAAATTTTGTATTAAGATTTTTGTTTTTTTTCAGTATAACATGATAAGAAAAGTAAAGTTGATCTTAATGTTTTGGATTTTACAGCTCTAAGATAGAGAATTATATATATATTTGTTAAAAATAAAACTTTTAAGTTAACTATTGAATTCGAAATTAATATTTTTATACAACTTTAATCTTGTCCTCCCAGAATAAAAGAGCATGTCCTTATACAGTGTCTTGGCACATCGCTACTTTTTGGATGACCTTCTAATATGTTATCTTTAAAATAAAAATTAATACAGAACTTTTACATCATCCTTTTTTTTTATACTTGTAATATAATTAAATGATCGACTTGGTGTATTATTATATTGTGTTGGATGAGAACGTTCTGTATGAATAGATGCTAATGTAGTTGTTGTTGATGGTATTTGTGTTATTGATCGTGGTGTTGATTGAGCAAGTGGAGTTGAATTTGGTACATGTTGTATTAAATTTCTATGATCTGTACGATTTAATGATGTTGAATAATGTATAGATGGTGGACGTGGTGGTCGATGATGATGATCATCATCATCATCACGTGTAACATGATTTTCTTCATCACGACCCAAATAAACAAGATATTGATTAGCTTGAAGACTCATTAACCATTTAATATCTTGCTAGAAGAGAGAAAAAACAAAATCTTTTGATAATAATGTATGAAAAAGATTTACTAAAGTATCTTGTGCATCATGATTACTTGCTGATGCACATAAAAGTAATTTAATTGGTACAAATTGTTGTTGATAATCTTGAATAGGATATCTATGAAGAAAATCTTGTAAATGATTTGAAGATTCTATCTAAATACACAAAAAAGAAGTTTTCATAAATATTTTATTAAAAATAATCTTACAGATTGTTTTCTTGATGGTACAATAAAATCTTTTACAACTTTTAAATCTAAATCAAAAACAAAACAATTTTTTTTTTGAAAATTATTTTTCATTATACCTGCTGAATTTTTATTTGTTGGTAAATCAATAAATGTTAATTGACTAACAATCGGTATGACATTCTAAAAAAAACTGTAATTTTTTTAATAAATCAATACTTTCAAAAAAACTATACTTCTCTTTGATCAGTTTTTCTTGCTTGTACAAGACGAATTATATATAAACGTGTTGAATTATCTTTCATAGGTATTTTATTTGTATCAAATAATTTTCGTCGTGTTTTACGTGCATCATCAAATTCCATTTCAATACATGTTTGTGGAGTTTCAAATTGATTATTATTAATACCTTCAGTAAACATTTTTAATAAATCAATTGTTATAGAATTTGAATTTATTGTATTTATTTCTATAGCTGATATAAATATTGTATAAATATTATCATCATCAATACCAGATACATTCGATGTTTGATCAAGTATTGATCTAAATTTATTTTATATATATAAAAATAAAAGTTAATATTTAAATTTTTATAGATTTTATTACCTCCCCCCTAAAGAAATTCATGTGAATTTTAATCGAAGATTATTTTAAAACAATCAGAAATTTTCAAACAAGGACAATAGAAATTTGACTCTCTTATCCTATTATTCATAGGATCTTGTTCAAAACTTTCAATTACTCTATTATGTATAGAAAATCTCAGAATCTTTATTCAGTTTCAAAAATTACAGTTAAAATGAATTGTATTAAACATTATGTATCAGAGATAGACAAAATCGCACCGCGCCTCCCCGCGTCACTGCTCGCGCCTAGGCGCTACGCACATCTCTCTTTCTCTTTGCTCTACCAATCAGTTTCTCAAACTCCACCGAATACCGGGATGCTCTAAGCATGCGCTCGCCGAAGCTCCGACTAGTGTAGCGTAGGCGTGAGCAACGGCGCGGGGAGGCGCGGTGCGACTTTGTCCATCTCTGTTATGTATATATAAATTCTCGGCATAAAAACAAAAAGCAAAATCTACATCTTTTTTGTTTTTTTTTCTTCGAAACTACTTTCAATCATATCTATATTTTGATAAATGATTTTTTTTTTTTGGAAAATTTTCTTATATATTTGATTGATAGAATTTATTACTTACTTTTCTAAAATACTTGTATGTGTAATATTACCAATAATATTTTTGCTCACTTTAGGTAAAAGATCACGTTGATATCGATCAAACATTGCTTGAGCATCTGATTGAATTCTATATGTATTATTACCTATGGGTCTAAAATACTATTTTTTAATATTTATTAGAATAGTTTTTGATATATATATATAGAAATTAATAAATAATCTCTTACATATTTAATTGCACGATGTTCACCAATACTATTATAAAGTGCATTGATTGTTAATGAAATTAGACCAGTATCTTTTGTTTCACCAAATAGAATATCATTACGAAATTTTTTATTTCGACCAATAATAAAAAGAAGTGCTAAAAAGAAATTTTTTTTTTTAATATTCACAAAAAGAAAAGTTCTTTTTCGTACTGCTTCGTCCTCGTACAAGATCAGCTATAGCTGGTCGAGCAAATCGATCATAAATTTCACCTGTTGTACCTTCACCCCATATATGTTCAAAATGAAATGCTGGCTAAAAATTTAAATATTAAAATAAATTCAATTCTATATATATGTTTTTTTCTTTTTTTTTTTACATACTTTATCATCAAATAAAAATTGACTTTCATTATTACCAATTATTTTAAATGTTTTTGTATGTTCATGTTTTGTCAATTTAGGTATATTACAAAATATCTTCAAAAAATATAAATTATATATTGATTTAAAAAAATTTTTTTTTTATTTATTTTTAAAATTACTTGAATTGGTTTTGCTCGTAAATCATATGATTTTTTATTAATTATTGTTTGCATGAGGACGTTCTATAGAAAATAAGGCAAAAAAAAACAGAAACGATTTAAACCAAACTTAGAAATGAATAATAGATGACGAAAAAAGAGAGAGAAAAATAGATCGAGGGTTTTGTTTGCCTTTACAGCTATGATAGAATGGATATCGAGTTATCTATTCAATAAACACGTGTATTATAGAATGATAAATCGAATTGTCTTGAAATTCAATATAGCAAAAATATTTTAATGAAAATCTTGTTTTTTTGCAGTAGAGTTGCTTTACAAATAAATCAATAGTATTTAAACAAAATGATATAACATTGAAAGTGAATCATGAAATTCTTTAGATTATCTTCAATGATATATAGTGTCCGAAAAGTCATTAAAGTTAGAAAAATTTGAATATCTCCATTATGGTTCGACCAAATGGACTCATTCTTTTTTACCAAGGATAGAGACATGTTCACACTCCAAATCCATACGGACAAAATTATTGAGAACCTTTGCTATTGACCTTAATAAGAAAATTTTATTTTTTCACAGATAGGAAAAAAAACAATATTCTTAACAAAGCTTCTCTCTAAACTTGTCCGTATAGATTTGAAGTATCAACATACCTCTATCTTCGGTAAAAAAATCAACTGGTTTGCTAGAGCCATAATGGAGATATTCAAATTTTTCTAACTTTAGTGACGTTTCGGACGCCCTATAGAACTGCTAGTAAGAGTTTTTCCGCTTAAAATACTGTTTTTAAACTGTGTTGTTGTTGTTGTCTAAAAATATATATACATATCTTGACTTTCAAATATACTTTTTTCATATCTCAAGTTTGAACAAATCTTTTAGACTGAATCGATTCATAACATTCTTTACTATAATCGCAAGCAACTATCACTGTTCACAAACAAAATATTTTCTCAGGCGTTGATCAATTATAAGTATTCATTGATTTTTCTTCATATTTTTATTATTTATTAGAATTATCAAAAGAATAGTGGCGTAACCAAGGTAGGGCTCCGCCCAACCACCCACAGATCTCATTCTCCTGAGCCCAATCATCAGACATTTAAACGACGCTAAGCTCTACCACCGCCAAAATCCTAGTTACACCACTAAAAAAGAAGTCAGACAATTGAATTAAATTTAAAAATGTATCGAAACTCTTAATCTTGATTACAACATGTAGAAGAGATCAATTACCATTTTTGTTATTCAATCTATTTTAGAAGAATTTTGAATCAGCATATATTCTGTTCCGAATATGAAGAACATATAGAATAATATGAGATTGAATCATTAACGTATAATCAATTTATGATGAAAAGAATTTTTTATTCACTATTGTCAATTATGATTTGATTCAAAAAAGCAGTTTTTCTTTATAAATATATAAATCAAATTTTATTAATAAAAATATAACAAATTTATTTATTAAAATTAAATAAAAAAAAAACAATAACAATGTATCACAGAAAAAATTGTACATTTTTTTTTGAGTTTTATGAGATTATTTTTATTAATAATTAATATATAAATTCTAACTTGATTCATTTGTAAGTTACCATTTGCACATAAGTTTAATTCATTACCTATAAATATATAAACAAAAAAAATATTATCAAAAATTCAACAACATATTTAACTAACTCAAAATTCTCAATCTTAATTTGCTCAACTGTTATTTCGTAAAAACAATACCTTTTGCTATATTTTTTTTTATAAATCTTCTTGGCTTATTTTAATGAAAAAAAAAAAACAAAAATACTTTATTTTTTTTTCCTGTATTCAATCAGCTTATTTCTACTAGTAAAGTTTTCTTTTATTTGTCTGACTATAGAATACTGATGCCAAACCAAGTTCTATTTTGTGTTATTCTAAATAAAAAAAAAATTTTTTTTTCTTCTTCTTCAAAAAAAAATACTATTCTTTACAGTCTGTTTCTAATTGAGACTAATTTTTAAATATGATTAAGAAAAAGTAAAAAAATTAAATTAAACTTAAAATAATACAATATGAAATATATACTTACCTAAAATAATTCTTTTTGATGCTTATTCTGTATAAATATAACACTTTCCATCAACAGATCTTTGCGATATTTGTGCATTTCTGTTGCTGATTCGCCTAAGCGATTTGTATATCTAGACTATTCGATAGTATTTGATAACCAGATTTTCTACTTATCAGAAGACAAAGAATAAATTAAATTCATTCTTTAACTGCCCACTGAATGTAATAAAAAAAGAAAAGAAAAGAAAAGAAAAACAAAACAAGATTTCATACACACTTACTCTTCTATATGGTATTTTCCTATAACAATTACACAAAACAACAAAAACCAAAAATATTAAAAAGAGATATATATGAATCGTTTGAATCTCTGAATTGCTCTTTTTTTTCTTCAATAATATTTTTCATACAAAAATAAATTAATTAATAAATAAACATAAAATACTTTCGAAATATGATTAATTTACTCGAAATCGAAACTATAATTTAATCTATTTTGATTTCTAAATATATATATATAAACTAGATATTTCATGTAAACTTATATTCTTATAATTTATCCAAATGTATCATAACTATATTCTAATTCATAATTACTTAAAACTAAAATATCTCTTATACTTAATATAAGAATAAATCATAATAGTAATATATTAATTTTCGTACATGTATTTAAGAGAAACAGGCACAAAAGAAAAAAAAAAGAAACATGGTGACTTATACAACTGATGTGATAATACACGACAAGAAGAAAGAAAAAAAAAAACAAATTGAAACAAAAACCACAAAAAAAACAAAACATTAGATTCTTTCTTTTTTTTTTTTTCTTATTTATCTTGTTCTTTGATAATTTCAATCTAGAGTAAACTCTAACTGATGTTAAGACAGCTCTATGTACAAAAAGAAGAAAAAATATATATATATATAAGTATGTGTTGTTGTTTTTTTGCATATTCATATAGCTGTTTTTTTTGTTGTTGTTTCTATTTAGTTCTCTAAGGTAGGGAATTTTTCTTTGAGTATATTGTTAATAAAGATAAAGACAATAGACATAAGGGTAAATGAAACAGAAGACTACAACAAAAAGATATCGAAAGAAAAATTCTTTTACACATGTTCAATATGGATGTAATTTATTTTATTTTTTTTTTCCAAATGTCTCCTTAAACACATACCACACTTGTAAATTTGTATTATTTATTGTCCACGACCACGGCCACGACCACCACCACGTCCACCACCACGACCACCACGTGCTGAATATGGTGCTGAACGATTACTATAATTAGAATCTCCACCTGATGGACCACCATAATTACCTCCACTTCCACCGCTTTAAAACAAAAGAAAAATATAAAACACTATTGGGATGAGAAAGATAATGGTAATGAAAATTTTGTAAAATTTGAGTTTTGTTATTCAAGAATTTTTCTTCTCCTAAATAAAACGCCTTTTTTTTTGTACTATTACAAATATATTTATTAATTAGCGCATGATTATTTTCAACTGAATAAGTCAAACGTCTAACTTATAGTCTTTAGAAGAATTCTATAACTTAGATATATCGAGATTGAAGTGGAAGGCGCAATACATATGCTAATAATTATTCGTGCAGAATGTGTTCTATTCATATGATATTAAACTAAGTGATAGAGAATCTAAATCTCACTTTTGTGAGAAAAACGATAAATATGCTTAGACATGGATTTTTGTTTTTAAATTTAAAATCCAAACAAAAAAAAAAATGATTAAAAAGTAGAAGTTTTTACTATCTATCGTATGTAAATAAATATTAATTTAATATTTTATAAACAAGAATAATTATAAAATACTTGACTTACCCTCGTCCTGAACGCATAGGACCACCACCACCACGAGTTTGTTGTTGAGGCATATTATTATAATTTCCTCCGCCAAAATTTTGTGATGTAATACCATATGAAGTTGCATTATCATATGGTACTGATGTTGATGATGGATTATTATAACCTCGACTACCACCACCACCACCACCACCACCACCACCAGATGTTGCTTGTGGTAAATTAAATGAATCATTCATACCACCAAAATTATTTGGATTATTACCAAAACCTTGTTGTTGATTTTGTCCATAAGGTAATGGTGGTGGTTGCATATAATTTGATGTTGGTAGTTGATTTGGATTATTATTAAATGGCATATTTGATGTATTATTATACATATCATAATTCATCATTGATGGTTGTTGTGGAAGTGGTGGAGGTGGTGGTGGTGGTGGTTGATTTTGTCCCATAGGATTAAATGATTGTGAATATGCATTTGTTGGTGGCATTGGTGGATTAAAACCTGATGTATTTGTATTATATCCACCTTGTTGTCCGTATGATGATGTTGATGGTTGATTATAATTTTGATTTTGATTATTCATACGTGACATACCACCTTGATTATCCCAACTACCACTAGATGGATTAAAATTATCACGCATTTGTCCAAAATTATTTCGAGCTGATGATGATGATGATGGTGGTGGTGGTGGTGGTGGACCAGTATTAACACCTGAATAATTTGAAGGATTATTACGATTAAATGATGGCATACCACCAGTACCACCAATAGGTGAATTTGTTCCTGATTCTTCTTGCATTTTTTCTTTTGGTACTGCTTTTTTAACATCTAAATTTCTACCATTTATAATATGTGGTTTTTCTAAAACAGCTTTATCAACAGCATCATAATCATCAAATGTAACAAATGCAAAACCACGAGGTTTTCCTTGAAAAATAAGAAATTAATTTTTTTTTATTAAAATTTTATGTAAACAAACCATCACGATCTTTCATAACAAGAACTTCAACAATATTACCAAAACGTGAAAAATATTGTCGAAGACTATCTTCATTAATACCTTCACGTAAACCAGCAACAAATAATTTTTTAACAGTTAAATGTGCTTCTGAACTATTTTGTTCTTCACGTGGCACTAATTAAAAACCAATGCAAGATTAAATCAGTTTAAAGACAAAAAA